TTTTTTTTTTTTTTTTTGGTGTGGGGGCGGTCAGACCCGGACCTTGCGCTTGTGAGGCAGTAGTGACGCCTGGCTGAGGCTCTGCGTTGCCTGACCTTGCTCCCTGCCTGCCTCTCCCGGGGCGTCGGGGATGGACCAAGGGCAGCCTCACCTGAGCACGTCCTCCGATCCGCGTTCAGGGTGTAGCCCTGGCTGCACTCGCAGTGGTGCCGGCCGTCCCCGTCGCTGACACACACGTGCTGGCAGCGGTGTGTCCCCAGCGCGCACGCGTCCAGAGCTGCGCGAGGAAGCCGCAGTCACAGTGCTGCCCGAGGCACTGTCGCAGGCGCCCGTCCGACCCCGTCCTTCCTTCGCTGTAAACACTGCCTACGGTCTAACGCCTGTGCTCACTAGAAATACAGCCGCACCTCGGTTGTGCGACGGCTCTAAGCTCCAGCTTCCGCTACTCGAACAGCCAAGTTCGAAAAATCTGCTGGGTGTTCGTAACTCTGCGGGACAGTGGAGCTGAACAAGACTGTAAGAGCCGAGAGTGAACCACACGTCCGGCCCACCGAGGCAGGAAGGGGCGACGCTGCTGCCGTCCAAGTGCTGGGTCGGTGCCCGAAAACACTCTGCCCTCTTTGTTTTGTTGTTGTTGTTGTTGTGTGTGTGAGAGTGTGTGTGTGTGTGTGTGCTTCATTTGCAGAAAATATCTCAACCATGGCTCCAAAGTTAGTGACATTAGCAGTAAAGCTAAGAGGAAAAGTGTGAGAAACATGATAGAATTGAAGAAATAAATCACTGCAAAAGTTGTTAAACTCCTGGAAAAATGAATTTATAAGTGTAATTTTGGGGCCTCAGAACCAATGATCTGGCTTTCCGTTATTTCTCCTGGGAAAATTACATTCAGTTCTTGAACTTTTCGGTGTCTGAACACGAATTTGGAATGAACTGAGTTCGACAACCGAGATATCACTGTACCGCTGAAACTAAAAACTTATTGACTCAAAATTACAGATCTTGTTAGACTTCCTCAAAAAAGAGAGGGAATTTTGAGTTTGACGCTGAAACCAAACATTGCCATCAGACAGGCAGCTTACTCCCCACATCCCACAGGATTTTTGCTTCCCCGCCAGATGGGGGCCCTGGTCCCCACCGGAACATCTGAGCCCGGAGCCATTCTCGCTGGGCGGAGGGTGTGCATTTGGATATGTAAATGAGTCAATCCCCGCAGTCACCTCAGGAATCTTCCCGTAGCCCCTAGGGCCTAGGTACAGAGGTAACACTGGGCACTAACATCTACCAGGGCATCGAACTCCCGTGTTACATACCAACAGGTGAAAAGAAGAGAAAAAAAAAAAAATAAATGAGATTTTATCAGCTAAAGGGCATCTTCCGTCTTTTTGCTCCTAGAGCCATTTCTATCTCCTTGGAATTTTCCCCCCAGTCACAGGTCTTGAAAGATGAATCAATGAATTTAGTCATCTCTCAGAAGCCCACAGGCACTCCCGGGACAGGTAACCCAGGCTCCTCTACCTTTGGCAAGAGGACAAGGCTAATAATATCCCAAGAAGGGTCTTTTCACAGCCCTTCCAACCCTGGCTATGACATACCGCCCCTCAGGCTCTTTCCATACAGAGAGGACCTTTTCCCCAGAACAGCAGGTCCTTTGTGCCAGATGGAAAAGATCGCCATTCACGCCTGGCTGCCTTATGGCCTCTAACCGGGCCCCAGGTGCGAGCTCTGACACCCACCTCAGCCGGGCACCTGGCGGAGCAGCTCCTGCCCACAAGCCCAGGGAGTTTTCCTGAGAGAAAGAAGGCCACTTTCTTTTTGGAAACCAGTGAATGCCAAGGAGATGCCACCACAGCCAGGGAGGACTTGTGAAGATACAGTGTCCCAGGACAGGAAGACAAGGGATCCGGGCCAAGTGTGGCTGAGAGGAAGCCATGCTTTTGTCTCCCATTTCCCACAGACTGGTGACCGCCGGGTTTCACACTGATTATAAATTAATCTCCTAGAGATTTACAAGTGTAATTATTTGCTTTCGTGCTTGTGTCACCCCCATCCCCAGAATGTTACTTGATGACCAGGAAGCGTTACCTTTGTCTTTGTCACCAGTGATCAGAAAATATGTACTGAATAAACAAATGTGGGATAAATCATGTGCCAAAAGGTATCTATGTTTAGAAATTCATCTGGACAAGAACTTTGTCCACACAGGGTTTGGATAATTCCATAGAGGGCTTCAAAAGATAGATCCAAAATGATAAAAGATACAACACAAGTACTCTAATCATAATTCTGATCGGAGACTAAAAGTAAACCCCAGCACTGAGTAGATTTATATTGATGCCCCTGGCTAATTCATGCAGAAATTGCAATGAAATCAGCATTTCCATATTCAAACTCCACCCTGATGAGAAAAGGCATACAAAGGGAGCAACAGAATGATTTTTTTAAAAATCTGCTTATTCTTGTGTCTGCTAAATGAGCCCACGAATCTTCCTGGTGCCTAATCCTATTACTCCACAAAGAATGGTCAGAAAAAGCAACATCTGTAACAAGTGTTCACCAAAGGCCCACTGACAGTAACACTGGGATACAATCTGCTGGTCCTCCCACTGGTCCTCACATTGGTCCTCACAATGCTACCTGTCTTCTGCAGGAAAACAAGAAGCATCCCATGAAATCTGGAGATGGTGAAAGCTAAACAAAACACCTGGGAGAAAAATGTAGTACTTGGGAGAGGGAACAAGAGAGAGGTGTCTTGAGTCGATTTCTTGTTTGTTTTGTTTTGGGGTTTTCCCCACCCCATCAGGGAACAGCAGTTATTTATCCTGGGTATTTCCAGACCTTCATGTTTTAAATGCAAACATGAAGATTTTACGAGCAAACTAAGTTATATACAATACAGCTCTATATTTGTCAGACACCACTGTGTATTTAAGTTGGTAAAAACAAAAATGCCAAAAGAGCATGGCATGTATTTAAGTTTTTCACAAGACTTCCACCAAAAAGTGAACAGATCTCTTTTTCTTTGGGTACACGATGTCTGGAATACATCTCTCCTAGTTGGAAGCAGACTGACCACTTACCACAGAAGGTCTCCTGGAACCTGGAGGAAAGCTTCTCAATGACACCGTAGGTTTCCACGTAGAACACGTGCTCGGCCAGGGGCTCACTGGCCATCGTCTTCAGGGACTCCACGTCTGCCCGGTCCACGCCCACGGCATAGAGCTCAATGCCCGAGGCCCGGGCCCGGGCCGCCACCTCGCTCGCCTGGTCCTGGGGCCTCCCGTCTGTCACGATGATGGCCACCTTTGGGATGTTGGAGGCAGGGCCCCGGGCCCCGGCCTCCAGGGTGAAGGCTTCATCCATGGCTGTCTGGATGGCCAGCCCCGACATGGTGCCCGTCGACAAGGGTGAGATGCGGGCCACGGCCTTCCTCAGGGCCTGCTTGTCTGCATAGGTCCCGAGTTGGAACTCGATCTTCACCGTGCTAGCGTAATTCACCACCGCCACCCGCGTGGCAGCCGGCCCAATGTCCAGAGTGTCGATGATCCGGGAGACGAAGGTTTTCACTTTGCTGAATTCCAGGGGCCGAACGCTACGAGAGCTGTCGATGATGAAGACCAGGTCCAAGGGCCTGCTCTTGCACACACCTGCAAATAGGGGTGCGGGGAGTGGAAAAGACAAGCAGTGATCAGGGCACAACCAGAAACAGGACGATTCTTATTCCCAGAGAAGGCTGGGCTTCCGGGGGCAGGCAGGATCGCACACCTAACCTAGTCACCACTGCCAGCTACCTCCCTGCGATTGCCCTCTTCTCAGCTGCTGAAACACCAAGACCTCAGAGTCCCCTGGTGAGAGCTCAGAGGTGTGGAGTTTGCCCAGATCCCTCCCCTGTCATTTCACACCGCAGTCCCACTGCTCAAGGCTCAGGTCCAAGTTTCCTGGGACCCAGCCCTCCTGGCGACCTTGGCTGAGGTGACCAGTGTGTGCGGCCCTGCTCAGGCCCATACCCCGGCGCCTCCCCTGCAGGTCCAGGCAGAATTAGGGGCAAGGCACCCTGGAACTCTTCTGAAAGCTCCTTCCACTCCCCTCTACACCTCTAGAGTGAAAATGCCCGGGAGAAGCCCTGCACCCTTCCACCTGATGCTGGACCGGGCTAGATGAGGACAGAGCGGGGTGACAACTCGGGCTGCCACGGGTCTGCTCCCATTTGTCCTATTGTCCCCGTCACCTCTCTGCCACACACTCATTCACCATGGAAAGATTTTTTGAAGATCTGCCTGTAGGAAGTTCCACAGCTACAAAGGTAAATAAGCCAGATTTTCCACCTCAAGGCACTTATAAGGAGTGAATGTCCGGAGGATTTCCGGATCTGCTTCCGAAGGTGGCAGGAATGACGGGTTCAGTGAGTGCTGAGAAAGCGTGAGGGTTTCAGGAGGATTGTGGTGACGTGTCTTTCGCTGTAGTACTTTTGTGACAGAGACTTTTGCTGCATTTTCCAACCATACCTCACATATCTCTCTACACCGCGGTGCCTGGCACACTGCAGTAATATGACAGATGTTCGTTTTCATCTGTTCCTTCCTAGTTTTTCCTGTTCCTTCCAGACCTACATGCTCACCCTCTCTCCTGCCCACTACAGACAAGTCCACAGGTCAGGGGACCCACGAGAAAGAGACGCATTGTTACCCTCCCTGCGGAGTCATTTCTCCTCCTGGACCAATACGCACATGCCGTGTGCATCCCACACAGGGCACCCTGTGGGAAACAGGGTCCTCCGGAAGCATTGCCCAGGGCTCCTTCTTTCTGAACAAGAGGACACAGCTGCTGCTACGCTGGGAAAAGTTTACTCAGTGAGTAGGAGAAAAGGTGAGTCTGAAATAAACTCTCAGGCTGAGCCACTTAAGGGAGAAAAATCCTTATCTGGAACAGCAATTATGGATCTAAATAGCTTTCTTTCTAAAGATGAAAATTTACCCTTGGTTTTACCCCTGTGCCTGGAGGTATTTAATAAGAAAGAAATATTTAGCCAGACAGGGTGGCACACACCTGGGATCCCAGCACCCTGGGAGGCTGAGGCAGGAGAATGACAAGCTCAAGGCCAGCCCCAGCAGTTTAGCAGCTTAGTGATACCCTGTCTCAAAATGAAAAGTATCTTGAAAAAAAGACCGTTTTGTAACTCAGTGTGAAGGCCCTAGGGTCAATCCCCACTACTGAAGGAAAACAAAAAAAGATTTTTCCTTTTTCTAACCCTTTTGGAGTCACGGGAGACAACAGGACAACCCCCAGAAGTGGGAGATGCAGGAGCTGTTTCCGCGCGCAGCTGACAGGTGAGGCAGGCATGGCCTTATTCCTGCTCCAAGCCAGCAGCGGCGGGCTGAGCGCTCCCACCTCTTCACTCAGACCCTTCTCCTGCCCTCTTCCGTGTTCAGGGCCCCTGGTGACTGTGTTGCGGCCCCACGAATAATCCGTGCCCTTTCCATGTTTAGCACCACCTGTAAAGTCACTGTTGTCACATGAAGCAGCGTGTATCCAGGTTCCTGGGATCAGGGCCCAGACGTCTCCACAGGGAGACTTTGTTCTGCCCCCCACACCCCTCATCCCGCATGAACAGAGGGTTCAGTGAGAAGGTGACTCCGAGAGGAAAAGACTCGCACACTCGTGGCTCCAGGAGGCACCGCCAGTGAGACACAGAGCTGCTAGTTCAGGGTCTGTACCATCCTGCGCTTCGCTTTTACTCCAGTTATGAAAAAAATACCTGGACCCAGGTCCAGGCAGGATTTTCAGCAGATCTCCTGCCTTGCTCTGATCCATAGGAAACTCGAGGGAATGAAGTAGAATTCTGGAGCTGTTTGAAAAAGAGGGACTTTTAATTCTTTTCGACTTAACTAAATACACAACATGGCATATTTCGGGGTGGCAGGACACTCGCTGGGCGCGTGTGATCTGGCTGATTTCTGTGGTGGAAAATGCTGTCTCAGGAAGCAGGCCGCTGCTGCTGGCTCGGAGCAGGAATAAGGCCATGCCTGCAGCACGCTGCCTCCAGGACGGAGGGGAAGGCTCCCCACAGCCCCAGGAAGGGACAGGATGAGACTCTGCCGTACCCTGGGGTGCCCAGAGACCAGGATGGGCTCTGGCCCTCAAGCACCAACGTACTGTGTACTGTCTTCAGCTTCTGAGTGCACAGCTGGTTGTTACAGCAGCACCTGGACACTAGTCCAGGGGCCTTACCAGGTGGCGGCCAAGGACCCCGGCTGACGGCACTAACTGCACATCGGTACCTTTGTTTGTTGCAATACCGGGGAATGAACTTAGGGTCTGCACACTGAGCTGCTCCCCAGTCCTTCTTCATTCACTTTGACTTCTGCACAGTACACAGCAGTAATTTGATTCTCAAAACAAAGCAGTTATTCTAACAAATGGAAACACTGAGGCAGGAAGGTTACTGAGGAAAGGCCCTCCTGGGCAACTTATCAAGAGCTCATCTCAAAACAAAAGTAATTTTAAAAAAGGGCCAGGAATGTAGCTCAGTGGCACAGTATACCCCTAGTACAATCCCTACTACCTGCAAAAAAATGTTTTAGCCTCTTAAGTTTTCCATGAGCACAATATTTTTAAGTTTTGCCAAAAATAAAAGCCCATAGCAAAGCTAAGCCATTCCTTGCAATAGGAGAGGAAGCTTAGAAGAAATGTAGAGGACTGGTGCTTACAAAGGGGCTCAAGATCAAGTTAGGACTCCGGGTAGTGACGAACTGGTGCAGCTTGGGGGACATGGTCACCTCCCTCTTCCAGTCCCTTCCCCGGCAGGCGGATGAGGACCACAGCAAATCCGATTCAGGAAAGTCTTTTCCCCGTTCCTGGCATGGAGCAACCAGCCAGCTACCAGCCAAACCGAACCCTCGGGAGCCGGGACGCAGCCCCTCCGGCCTCGGCGGCAACGTTTTTGCCCTTTCGAATTTGCCTTCCAGGGCTCCGATGCTGCGGGAAGAGTCCCGAGCTCCTTCTCAGCATATCCAGAAGGCGCAGGGGACGGACAGCCAGGAGACCTGGGAGGTGGGTGGACGCAGCCCCTCCACTAGGCTGAATGAAGCTGGGGTTTTGGTAATGAAGATAAAAATCTTACAAAACCACAGGCAAAGCCGGCAGGAGCGGGAGAAGGAGCCCTTTGTCGCGGTTTCAGGGCCCTGCGTGTTAGTCTGGTCCCCTCGCCCACCGTTCCTGAACAGCCTCCTTTCCTCGTGTGCTCCTGCCAGGGTCGCATCACAGGATCTTCGCTCTGCCCGGGGAACCAACTGCCGATCAAGAGGGGAAACAGTTGCTCGCCACCAGCTCAGTCTTGGGTCTTCGGGATCTCGTAGCACAGTCTGGCTGGGCCCGGTTAGTTCTAATAGAACACAGGCTCGAGAACAGGCCGAGGCAGGGAGGTTCCCTTCCAAGCCTCACAACCCCACGCCTCGCCCTCCCCTCTGCCAAACCCAGGCTACCAGAGGCGGCTACGGGGCACGGAGGGGCCTTGGGAGCCTCGCTGGCCTGGAGGTGCAGGCAGGACTGCTCGGTAGAACCTGAGCCCTCGGGCAGCCCCCGCTCTGCTGCCCAGCGTGGATTCTGAATGGAGAA